TATGGCATGTGGGATGGTGGGAGAGGGTGGGATGGCTATTGCCCAGAAACTGGGGGACTGGGAGGGATACGCCTGTGGGAAATGGATAAACACAGGGATACAGCTGTGAGATGTGGGTAAGAGGGAGGGATATGGCACCGAGAGAACTGGGGGAGAGGGAGGAACATGGCTGTGGGAACTGGTAGGAGAGGGTGATATAGGGCAGTGGGAACTGGTGGGAGAAGGGGATGGCTCTGGGAGCCAGGGGAGAAGGATGAATAAGGTCCAGGACCTGGCGCAGATTGAGGTATGGCCTGGGAAGTGGGGGAGAGGGAGGGACGTGGCCCTGGGAACCCTCCCCAGCCCTGGTGCTGGCACTGCCTCCGGCTCCGGCTCTGCAGCCAGGGAATGGTGGCCTTGCAGGCCAGGAGGAGTTACTTTAGGCCCAGCAAGACGGCAGCATGTCCTCAAAACAGTCCCTTGTCTCAGCTCCCCCTGTCCCACAGAGCCAGGCCCACACTCCTGCAGGCCCTGAGGACATCACAGACCAGGAGCATGTCAACAAGTCAGTCCCTCACCCCCTGCAGGCCTCCAACACACGCAGCAGCAGGAAGCATCGCTCAGAGCCGTCCTCTCCTGCGTCAGAGCCCCTTGGGAGCTTTCATGCTACCTCATGATGGCTTCAGTCCTTGAGGGATTGATATGCAAACCATTGAGGCCAAGCAGATACCACATGTACTCCATCATATGCTGGCAGAAGGAGCAATTCTTGAGTTTGGCATAGAGCTGGGGCTATGTAAACAATTCAAGACCTCCCAGAGGTGGTCTAGACACACGTTTTCATCAGTGAAGAGTATTAAAACGTCATCCAGATAGGCCACAACACAGTCTTCAAGCAATTCTTTTGGAAAGTTGTTTATGACATGCTGGAAGGTGGCTGGTTTATTGCAGAGACCAAATGGCATCATCAGACACTCATAGTGGCCATCTCTGGTGTGGAAAGCTGTTTTCCATTCATTCCCCTTCTGCAGAGCAAATTATATGCCATTCAATCCCCAGAGCAAATTCTATGCCCTAGAGCAGGTCCAGCTTCTTAAATCAGCAAGATGTTTGTGGACGTTCAAGAGGGAGCCGGTGCCAGTTCTCCACTGTGATCTTGTTCATCCTCCTGTTATCTCTGCAGTGCTGGAGACATCTGTCCTTCTTTTTCACAGAAAAAAATGCAGGGCCCCCAGCAGTGGAGGAGGAGGACAGATGATGCCCCCACACCAGATTGTTCTTGATGTACATCTTGAGAGCTGCTAACTGAGGGAATGACACAGCATAGATGCACCCAAGGGGCACATCCTTCCTTGGGATCAAGCAATATGGGCGATGGGGTGGTAGGGTTTCTGCACTCTTCTTTTCAAAGACATCTGCAAAGTCATTGAACGCATCTGGGAGCATTGCCAAGGGATGGCTTGTATGTTGTGTGGGGGTAGAAATCTGTAGATTTCTTGAGGGCACATAGGAGGGCTACAGGAGCTGCCCTTGAGGGGCAGAAAGACTTGGACAAATCTTAACATAGTTTTCTCTCCAGGATCTGGGGAGATGGAGGAGGAACTATAGTGTCAAGAAGGCTGCCATCCCTCCCAGAAAGAACACGTTGCAGGTACTTAGGAATTCATATCAGAGCCAATAAAGAGTTTCTCCTGCCCCTCAATGCTCCATTGCCACTTTTCAGCAAGAGTCAGACTAGGACATATTCTGGGAACATGCAGCATTCCCAGTTTTTGCACCAGCCTGCCAGAGTCATCAACTAGGATTTACACTACAAGGAGGCTTAGATGGCTCCTGCTTTGAGACAACTAGGGTAAGCTTCGTTATGAGTAACGTGACTTTACAGCACCAAAAACCGGGTCTCATCATCATTTTCCTCTGAGGTACACCAAGCTTAGCCAACACCAGACAGAGTGAGAGCATCCCAGGACCTAAAGAACATGTAAAATGAAGTACAGAAACACCTTGGAGCACCTCCACTGTTTAAAGACTGATCTTATGGAGGTCTTCTCAGTCTGTCCCAATAGTACCCTCTAGGGACTGTTCTTCCAGGATTGCTCCCAGGACCTATTTATTTCCTGGGTTTGTCACTTCTCTTCAGGAAATGTGATTCCTTTCACACCATAATATTAAGTGAATGGTAATGATGTTCAGTTTTGCTTACTCGCTTGTTTTTTCCAGAGAGAGAAGAAAGACTTCAGTCTGTGCTGTCAATGCTAGATTTGGAGATGCATCAGACCAGGAAGCTGCAGTTAACAGACATCCTTGAGATCACTGAGCAAGGCATGAATGACCAGGTGCCTCAGACCCAAGGAGGTTTACCACGGCATCTTCTGAGAAAAGTAATGGGTCTGCATGGCATGGCCAGAAGCATAAGCCTGGGAAATGGAAGTGCTAGCGTAGGAACAAGTGTGGATGGAGATGACCTGATCATTCCTGTTGATCTCCTTTGTCCAGCTGAGATGGATAGGAGTGATTCCTCACATCCCCTGGATGTTGTCTGTGCTGTTTTGCATTCCTCAGACAGCTTCCTCCATCAGGAGCTCATCTCCAAAATGGCTGTGTGCCAGTTTGCTCTCCCACTGCTGCTCCTTCCCCTTGACACCTGTCCAGGTTTCGGCTGGGATAGAGTTAATTTTCTTCCCAGTAGCTGGTATAGTGCTGTGTTTTGGATTTAGTAGAAGAATAATGTGGATAACACACTGATGTTTTAGTTGTTGCTAAGTAGTGTTTACATAGTCAAGGACTTTTCAGCTTCCCATGCTCTGCCAGGTGCACAAGAAGCTGGGAGGGGGCACAGGACAGCTGACCCAAACTGGCCAAAGGGATACTCCATACCATATGACATCATGCTCAGTATATAAACTGGGGGAAGTTGGCCGGGGGGCAGCGATCGCTACTCGGGGACTGGCTGGGCGTCAGTCAGCAGGTGGTGAGCGGTTGCGTCACTTGTTTTTCCTGGGTTTTGTTCCTCTCTCTCTTTCTCTCTTGCTGTTTTCCTCTTCGTTACAATTTACTATTATTGTTGTTGTTGTTGTTGTTGTTAATTATTTTATTTCAAGTATTAAACTGTTCTTGCCTCAACCCATGAGTTTTCTTGCTTCCGCCCTTCCGATTCTCTCCCTCGTCCCACCAGGCGGGAGTGAGTGAGCAGCTGTGTGGGGCTTAGTTGCTGACTGGGGTTAAACCACAACACCACCCACCAGTCAAACCGCCTGCTCTGGGCAATGAGGGGCATTGTGAAGAGGTGGAGTCTGCAACCCCTGCCAGAAAGCAGAGGGTTCAAGGAGAAGAGCTGGGTGTGCATGTCCATGCCAACCATCTCCTTCACGCAGATGGAGCACTGCAGCTTCTCCAGGAGTCCAAGTGCCTCAACACTGTTCTCAGTCCTTCCCAGCACCACCAAAATTTCTTTGTCCACCAGGAAATGGAGTCGGGTGATGCATTTGAGGAAATTGCAGATGGGCTGGTAGAAATTTCCTGGTACTTCGCTCACAGGAAGAAATCCAGTCTCTTCCTAGAGTCCCTTACAGTTATGAACCTTCGCGGCCACATCAGATCACGCTTGGAGCAGTTTTGCTTTCTGAACGGTGTTCATAGTGATTGGGAACACTGGGGAGCCAGAATATATCTAGTCTGCCAGGATCAACAACCAAATACTGCTTCATCATTGGTGACCAGGGTGGGACCGCCAAGAAAACACTGGAGGAGTGTTTTCTGAAGGAGTTTGCTCCTGCACTGAGCTTGACAAAGGCATGTCTGCTAGTAAAAACTAGTAGCACGAATGAAGCAAGGTTTGATAAAGGCCTCCAGTATGTCACAGCAGGCACACTCAACGCTTCCAAAGGAGAAGGACCATTGAGAGCATAGCTGAGGTGGCACGTGATCTGAAGATCTTGGTGGATGATGATTGTGAAAAATCACAGACTGGAAGCAAACTGGCCACAGAGATCACTTCTGGAACAGCACATATGGGAAAGTACAAACAGGAGACGCCGCAGGTGCAGGGGGAGCTCTGGAAGAACTTGGCCAGAGTGGAGAAAGAGCTGTGCCGGATGGGAAAGCTGGGAGACATTACCACCAAAGATGGCAGACAGAGAAAATACAGAACCTATGTAGACAGCAAAGTCACTGGGATCTCCCCCCTGGTTTGACTCAATTTATTACTGCAAGGGGGCTGCATTCCACAGTGGGAAAACATTATTTCCTGAAATAGCTGAAATTCAACGTGGATCACATTGCCAGGGAGATTTCCCAGCTGAATGCCCAATACAAACAGGAAAATGAATGATCAGGGAATAACCCAAAGTTGCTAAACATGCTCAATAAAGACATTTTGGAGAGCTCCTTAGGGGTGGAGCATTTCATGTGGGAGCTGGGGCAGTTTTATGAGGCTGAATGTTCAATGGCCCAGGAAAGAGAAATGTCTGAGGACCAGAGACAACTTGTCCAACTCCCAGATATAGCAGCCCAGCTGATGCTGGAAGGGGTTTCTCATGGAGCTGGTGGATGTAGAAGCCTCCAATATCCCACTGCAGTGGGTGGCTGATGTGTTGGCTCAACTCCACACCAAGCTGGGGGCAAGTCCAGGTTGTTGGTGCTGGCTGTGCTGGGGATGCAGAGCACAAGGAAATCCACTCTTCTCAACACCATACTTGGCCTGGGGTTTCCTCTTTAACAACCTGAGCAGCTGGAAGGGCAAAGATGGCTACACAAATCCAAATACATTTTTTAACTAAATGGAGAGAAAATACATTTCTTTTTGCTTAAGCCTTCTAAGGACTACATGTGCCCTAAGAGTCTCTGGATCTCCTTGGTTTACAAAGACTCAGAAGTCTGAAGAATTTCAATAGACACAGGCATTTACCTGTCTAGTAGGCATTTGATGAGGTAGCTCAGCCTCACAGTGACTCCTCGTCACTCTATGTTGATTCATCTTTTAAACTATGATTTATAATGTCTGAAAGACAAGAAAGGTTTGTTAGCATTCCCAAATAGTGTGAGCAGGACGTCCAGCTGGAACACCAAGCCTCAAAAACAGCCAAAGCTTTTGATAGCAACCAGCAGTATGATGAAAGCTATGGAAGGGCAAAGGTAAGGTTTGAGCACAAAATGACTTATATTGCTGCTCTGGCACGCATGCTGTCTGTGCAGAAGAGCAAAACTACTTGTGCTTAATCAGAATTAGGCAGGCTAACAAAAGCTAAATCTGTCCAGAAAACATGTGGTGTAGATGAAGTGTAACAAGCGTGAGCAGTGCAGTGAGAAGGAAGTGCTGAGATGCAAGGCCAGCCTCATCTTGATGACAATATCAATAATATACTATTGGGCCAAAGTTACTTAAGTAACCATGTCAGAAACACCAAATTTGAATACACATGTAACAGAACTGAGACCATGAGAAAAAGGCATTAGGGGCACTTGGTCTATATGGAACAAGTCTGGGAAGAGAAAAGAAGGAACAGAAGTGGCAAAAAGGGGGGTGCAGGGAAGAAAGAAGGGAGAACAAGGCGTAAAATCAGGTGGAGAATAAAGAACAGGGGATTTGCCAAAGAGTAGAAGTGCAAATGCTCGTGGACAGTGGTGAGGCTGACCTGTGCACCTGGGTGCAGGACCCACCACCAGTGCTTCTCCCCAGGGAGACACTGGAGAGCAGTGGGACGTGCGATGGATGCGCTGGCCCAGGCACCGGTCAGAGGTCCAGGGCTGGGTGCCAAGGCCAGGCAGGGCCTGGCAAGGTGCAGTCGTGGTGGCAGAGCCATTGCGTACCCTGGGAGGGAAGGGTTGCATGGCTGGGGCCTCTCCAGGCCGGGGAGCATGGGTGGATCTGTGGACCTTCCTGCCTCCCTTTACAGCGTCCAGCCTGCCCCACCACCAGCCGAAGAAAAGGAGGAGGACAGGGGGACATTTGTGGTGATGCTGTTGGTCTTCCCAAGGAAACGCTGTGTGTGTGCTGAGGCCCTCCTTCCCAGAAAGTGGCTTAACATCAGCCTGCTGATGGGAAGCAATGAATAAATTCCTTACTTTGCACTGCTTGTGCACACAGCTTTTCCTCACCTATTAAACTGTCTTTATCTTGATCCATGAGCCATCTCACCACCTCCCATTTTCCACCTGTCCTGGGGAAGAGGGGAGTGAGTGAGCAGCTGTGTGGCTGTTAGCAGGGGTCAACCCACTCCACTGGCTCATAGACTCATAGATCATAGACGCACCCAGGTCGGAAGGGACCTCCAAAGATCATCTGGTCCAACCTCTTGTGGGAAAGGGAGCCTGGATGAGACCATCTTGCACCCTGTCTGGTCGCATCTTGAAACCCTCTAGCCATGGGGATTCCACCACATCTCTGGGGAGGTTGTTCCAGTGAATGATTGTTCTCACTGTAAAAAAATTCTGTCAGGATGAAACCTCTCCTTTCTCATATCATCTTGTATCATGTCCAATTCGTTGTCAGTCAGGACCCCCAGGTCCTTTTCTGCAGAGCTGCTTTGCAACCGGTCATCCCCCAGCATGTCCTGGTGCATGGGGGTAATTCTTCCCCAGGGGAAGGACTTTGCACTTCCCTTGGTTGAACTTCACGAGGTTCCTCTCAGCCCAATTCTCCAGCCTGTGGAGGTCTCTCTGGATGGCAGCATGACCCTCTGGTGTCTCAGCCACTCCTCCCAGTTTTGTACCACCTGCCAACTGGCTGAGGGTGCACATCGTCACCTCACTGTAGAAGACAATCAGACTGGGGAAGTGTGATTTCTCCTTGGTAAACCCACGCAGACTCCTCCTGATCACCCTCCTGGCCTTCACGTGTCTGGAGATGGTTTCCAGGGTTGGCTGCTCCATCCTCTCCCCAGGGACCGCAGTGAGGCCCGTCTGGCCGGCAGTTCCCCAGATCCTCCTTCTGGCCTCCCTCTGGAAGAGAGGCGGGACATTTGCTTTTCTCCAGCCCTCGGGAGTCTCTCCCGTAGCTGGAAGGCAAGTGAAAGCGGTCCCGCACGGATGCCAGGCAACTGCCTCAGCCCTCCTGGGTGCCAGCTGGTGACAGACACAGCCCTGACGGGCCCGCTCGCTCCAGCCTAGACACCGCCGCTCTCTCCGGAAGGGTCGGCGGAGCGTTTTGGGCGGCGCACCCGGAAGCGTCGGCGGAGCGCTTTGGTCGGCGCACCCGGAAGCGGAAACGGGTTCGGGGCTCGGCGGCGC